AATACACGATATTCGAACGAGCTGAATGACAGTGAATGCTATCCGATGCATTAGCATTAACACACGTCACTAAGTTAAGTTTTCAGCTGTTGATTTATTCCATAATTTGTCAAATCTGTGTTATGCTAAATCACTATTATGCTATATTTTTTTGCGTGTAGGATTCTCCGATAGGAACATTTGTTGTGGATGTCAATGCCACAGATCCAGACGTGATTGGAAAGATAACATATTCGCTGTCACTTACAAAAGAATCTGTCCGGGTCCTGTTCGAAATCGATGAACAGTCTGGTGTTATTACGACGAACGCAATATTTACTATTGATGTAGCAGACACGGAGTATGTGGTGAGACTTGCTATGCATAATACTCTATTTGTGATAATTATGTGACGTATTTGATAATCTGAATGTGTGGGTGTTGCGTGAGATGTAGAATTGCTCATGTTACAAACGTCGTGCTACATCATCGAGTTACAAAAAGATCGTGTTACGTAAATATACACGCCCGAATTGTAACTCGATGTTCAATTAACAGATTTTCACGTTTTGAACAACATAGTTTATTTTGATTTTTTGAATGTTGCACGTAATTTGAACAGCGATGTACAATTTAAACAATTGAGACGTTGCTGACAGTTCCGTATAATTTTCTAACATGCTTAAATTCACATAGATTCACTCAGTTTTGAATTAATTTGTGCTGCAGTATTTCGGAATTCGTTTTTGTTCACTGAAAGCATACTAATTTAGAATATCAATTAAAACATAGTGAATGCTCTCAGAAAGCAACTTTGAGCTTTGCGTCGAGGGCGTAACAAAAGTTACTCGTTGATTTTTATACTTTTCGACACGAATACTATTGTGAAACATTCCTGCTGTTCAAGTTGGTGTCTGTACAAATAGGGTGGCTTAGTCAGAGAAAATATGTGTGCTTATCCACATGTGTCGATTGCCTAAATTCATATGTGCTGATTGCCGATCGTCAAAACGGGTAATAGTTTACGGAAACGTTGCAAGTAGATGTTGGCACGTGTATTATCATGTTATATTGTTTTGAAATTCAAACTCATAAACGTTCGCATTAATGTCGTATTGTAGTAATAATCATAAATACATCTCATAAAACGAACAAATTTATATATTATAACCTTGAACTTTCAGTCGTATGTTATAGCATTAGACGGAAACTCCGACCTTGAACATATCGACACTGGGTCACGGTTAAATTACGTTATAAAGATCCAAACACAAACAGTCCGGTATTTTCAGAAGGTGAGCAATTCAACATATCAATACGTGGCATTGTACTGAACAAAAACTAAAGTCTGTCAAACTATTTAGGCAGATTATTACTCGATCCGGTTACAACGCGTATTTGACACTGGAACCGCATTCGACTTCATTCGTCCGTTTCTTCCTTACAGCACGAGGCGTTACTGAAACCATTGAAATAATTGGTTTAACCCTTATATTCCTATCAGTTCACAGTTTTAACCCCGGAGACATGCTGTAAATGCAGCTACTGTGTGTTCAAACATGTGACGGTTAAAAATATATAAGAAAATCATATTATACTGAGAGCATATAGCTTGTATAATGCACACGAATATTACCGCGCATTTCACTGTGACCGTATTTCATTATTTTGTCAGTGTAGTGTAGTATCTGGGAAGAAAATCGTCCACTGTACAACTATAGCAAGCAATTTTTAATATGCGTTGGCCATATAGCATCTGCCAAGGTGCAGTGATGACCGAATAAACGAACCTTTGCCACAAGATGCCACGATGATTGCTCCCATAAATTACTAACGCTCAAAACTGCGTTTTAAATTACATAATTCCATGCTTGAGACAATGTTGGCTTATGGTACATATTATTTGGAGATTTGTTGTTGCAGGTATACATGACGTAATGACATTATATATCCCACAGATGAATACTCCACAGTGGTACCCGAAGATCTACCACCTGGTTCAATTCTAGACTTAGACATTATAGCTATTGATATCGATGATGGTGACGATGGAAATGTGATGTATTCACTTGCATATGAAGGAAATGAGAGGGTAAATTGATCACTGTAATTAGTGTGTGTCACCGACGAGGCGATTGATTTCGTGAAAACACGTGGTTTACTATTGCTCACTTATATTCTAATCATAGTATTGACCCTCTTTATAAGTACACTTCCTCCATAACCATGTAATCGTGTGTTCTGGTATGCAGTGGTATGCAGGGAATATTTGAGATCGATCCAGTTACTGCCAATATATCCACTGTTTATTCTCTGGACCCCTTCGAGGTAACACCATTTTATAATTTGACTGTTATCGCTTCTGATGGAGGAGAACGACCTAAGTCAAGGTGGGTGATGATACTAGAATATTTCATACAGTACACGTGTCAGATTTACAGTACAATCGCCTGTAATGCATGCATATTTACAACTTTGAACGCATGCACAATTTGAATGAATATATTACATCATAAATCATTTTGGTATTTCATACATTTTGCAGTCACATCTTTGAAATGCACGGGAAAAATGCCCGAGTCTTGACCCTCCAAGTTTTTCAAAATAAGTGAAAAAATTTGCTTTTCGCATCCCAAGTTTATAAAAAGGCAGATTGTTGGAAAACTTTGTATATTTATACAACATGTCGAGACTCAATTCAAATCGTTTTGTTTGCACAGATCTAATCCTTAATGGCCAACGAATAATCACTTAGTTTTAAAAAAATTGTCAATTCAGAGCAATATCTCAGATATGTCATTATCCGATTGTGCTGCAAAAACGTAGCATGGATTAATGATTATAATTATTAATTTCTATTTGCAGTACTGTTCCTGTATATGTTACTGTCACAGACGTAATAGACCCAACTACACCAAGTGGTTCGGAATGCCTGTCTGAAGATGACACATGTAATACGAATTTTTACTTTAACAATAATGATATCTCATATGGCCGATTTAAACGGCAATCATTTTAAATCATAATTCATTGAAATATATTTTATTAAGTCATTTAATCATGCGGAATAATGATAATTACATATATTTGCATGTTTTTGTTAACGTAATTCCTTGCAAATAAATGCAAATAATGATCTAGCAACTGCAAATATAAGCATTAATGTTGTCAAGTTATATTTTGAGTGACTTAACAATATATTTATAAATATTTATGTTTTTCGTTACAACTATTACCAGATGTATCATTTTCCCAAACAATAATACCACTCACACCACGACTAACATACATTTTAAAAGAATTTATAATTGTATGCAATGTTTGTATATAAAGTATCTAAGCATTTTGTTTTGTTCTTTTTCAGGTGGCTGTCAAATATTAGTCACAGTTATAATACTGTTATTAGTTGTTGTTTCTGTTATTGCCCTTTATTATTGCTGTCGGTAAGTATAAATAGCAGTGTGCTTTTCAAAAGATTTTTGGTAAATGCTCAAAGTTGCATTCTGAGAGCATTCATAAGGTTTTATTGTTGTAGGAGCAAGTAGTCGTTAATGCTATGATATATACATGGATTACACATTGTTTCTCATTGTTAAGAATGTTTTTTATATTACAGACAAGTATGTCAAGAAAAAGACAGATATAATGTAAATAATTTATATAACTCAAAATTTACACACCTATAATCATTAGGTCTTAAACGCTTTAATCTTGGGTTACGTTATCTCTCTTCAATAATAGATAAGCATTGTAAAGCTCATTTTTGAAGAGAGATAGTAGAACGTCATATCGAAGCTAAACAATTTCTAAACTATTTACAATTTCGGGATGCACATGATTTAACTGTCGTAATAAATACTGTATGATCTATTTAATTGACAGTTGGGATGGAGAAAAATAAAGGGCAGTTCGAAAACATCTGAAGACGAACAGGTACCACACAAAAAAGGTAAGCTAATTGGTTTATTAATCGTTCGATGTGGCATTGCTGCTGCAGTTGTCACAATATATTCACCTATCATGTTTCTTACTTGGTCTATTTAAATGTCAATATGTATTTACCTGAATTGTGCAACACTCGGAGAGGCGTGTGGTGTAAATGTAATTTGGTAATACAATGGTCATGTGTTCTGAACTAATACATTACTGTATTTGCATGGAAAATAATCTTCGGTGTTGGTGAACAGCCATACATGATAAAGGTGACAATAACGTGTATTTGGTCGTGGATGAAGACTACATAATGTTTATTAGTTACTATTCTATGTTGATCGTTGATTGCATTGGCTTTTAAATAAGTCTGTTATAAGTTTTAATTTTAAATCCGACTTTCATTTCATAATAGATATGTTATTGCATGCATGCACATTTTTACAAATAAAATGAACATTTATAGGAATATATAGTTTCTTGACAGATACACAGTTAACATGTAATATTAATGATATTCATATTATATGTGGTATTGTTTGATACTCGTCAGGTGCAGCATTATAGAAGTGTGTACC